CTCATCTGTAAATGGGCACAAAAGACCATCATTCTAGAATAGTTGTAAGGACTAAAAGAGATAAATAGCCACAAAAACCTCCCTGACCTCCATTTGCCTCGCTGGCGCCCGCATTTTTTATGTACTTCCAATAGCTCCATTCCGGTCATCATCAAAAAGACAAGAGGCAACCACTGCGGGTGGGAATATGGAGAAGAGAGAAGACTTGTGCCCTGCTGGTGGGAATGCAAACTGGTACAGCCACTGAGGAAAACAGTATGGAAGAGCCTTAAAAAGTTAAAAATAGAATGGCCATATGAGCCAGCAATTCCACTTCCGGGAATATGTCCAAAAACATCAAAAACACTAACTTGAAAAAATATACACACCCTCACGCTCGTAGTAGCATTATTTACAATAGACAAGACCCAGAAACAACCCAAGTGCCCATCAACAGAGGGGTGGGTAGAGAAGCTGTAGTACATAGACACAGTGGAGTATGAACGGACCTTGATGGCATGAGGCTAAGTAAAATAATACAGAGAAAGACAAACACTTTAGGATCTCCCTTGTATGTGGAAATCTAAAAAATAAAATAAAATAATTTTCAAAAAACCACAAGAAACAAACAAACAACAACAACAACGAAAAAACAACTCATAGAAAAAGAGATCAGAAGCCAAAAGCGGAAGTAGGGGGAATCAGAAGAAGGTGGTCAAAAGGTACCAGCTTCGGGTTGTAAGACACATAAGTCCTAGGGATGTAAAACACAGCCTGATGACTATAGCTAACACCGCTGTGTGATACAGTGTTAAAGTGTTAAGAGAGTCAGTCTTGAGGGTTCTCACCACAAGGAGAAATGTTGTTGTTGTTGTTTTTTTTGCTTTTTGCTTTTGTTCTTTATTGTATCTATACTCGGTGATGGATGCCAAGCAAACAGCGGTATTCATTTCACAGTATATGTTCAAACCTTTCTTCTGTACACCTTAAGCCTTTACAGTGATGTATGTCAATTATACCACCATAACACTGGGGGGAAGCTCCATCGCAGTAAATTAACACCGTTGGTTTATGTGCCTCTTCTCTCTGAGTTTCTTGACCTCAGCACTGTTGACATTTGACTGGATTAATTCCTTGCTCTGCTGGGGGCTGTCCCGCGCACTCAGGACGTTCAGCAGCCTCCCTGGTCGCTACTCACCACATCCCTTTAGCACCCCCTCCAGTCACGACAACCAAAAATGTCTCCAGATGTTGTCAGCTGCCCCCTGGGGGGCTAAACCCCTTGAACGTCCAGGGGACATAGGGAACTGCTGAATGGCTATATTGTACACCCGAATGGATAAAACACTGTATGTTAAGTAACTGGGATTTAAATAAACAGTTAAAAAAAAAAAAAAAAAGAAGAACCACTGCCTGAAACTCAGCTCCCAGAACAATACCAGAAGCAGCTGCAGCAGAAAGAACAATCTTTTTTTTTTTTTTTAGCTCTCACCACCTACCAAACATTGTTCAAAGCCCTTCTCATGAATTACAGAATTTAATCCTCTCAACACCCCAAGGATGAGGGATTTTAGGCATGTTTTATTGATAATGAAGTTGGATCACAGAGAGGTTAGTAACTTGTTCATGGTGTATTTTATTCTCTTTTCTATCCCCAGCTCCTCGCATGTGAGCTGGTAACACAGGAACACAACAGGAACTTCCAGAATGTATGTATGAATTCCTCAATGAGATAGTTCCCTCCATAACAGCAATCAGGTTCAGGACGTTGACCCATCAGTCTCCTCCGGAGTCCCATGGCACCCCACACCAGTGGTTTAATTCTTTTGGAAGACCATTCCCCCAGCTATGGCCATTTTCAGCTACGGCATTTCATGGGAGTTAAGCGGTTCTGAGTACTCTGTTTTTGTTATTAATAACATGAATTACACCTTCTAGCTTACCTTATGAGTAGTTCACTCAATCCAGCCAAGGGTCCTGACATTACCAGATAAATACCATCAATATCTTTTTTTTTTTTAATTTATTTGACAGACAGAGATCACAAGTAGGCAGAGAGGCAGGCAGAGAGAGAGGAAGGAAAGCAGGCTCCCTGCTGAGCAGAGAGCCCGATGCGGGGCTCGATCCCAGGACCCTGGGATCATGACCTGAGCCGAAAGCAGAGGCTTTAACCCACTGAGCCACCCAGGCACCCCAATATCATTTTTTACCTGTCAGTCACTCCTTCCAGACTTTGGTGAAGTACAATAATACTATGTTTCCAGTTTGGAACATAACATGCTGAAAACCCTTCCAAGAAGTGTCTTATGAGCACTATACACAATGCTGCTCAGACACAGAAAGTGAGAGAATGCTCCCCCTTGTCCATAAGTGTGGACATTTTCATCCTGGGAAGGAATCAGTGAACTGAAAGGCAAACCATGATCAACTTGTTCTTGATTAACACAGACTCAGCATTTAAATCTGCTTAACCTGTGTTATGAAAAAGACTGTAAATAAACCCACATATAAATCCTTACATCACAGTGGCAGGAGATCTTAAAGTATCCCAAGCCCAAGGCTCACACTCAGTGGGTGTGGGGAGAAGACAGAGAGAGATGCTTTCTGTTAGGAAGCAGGGAACTCCAGTGTTTCTTGACTCTGTTAAAATTCTGGCAAGCGTTAAACACAAAGCAAATGTTTAAAAGAGAGCTGATTTTACGATAAAGCAAGACCACTTGAAGACCTTATAGACTCATTGTGGGAGGAAGGGCAAGGTCAAACAGACCTCACTTTGAATCCCAGCTCGGCCACATTGGGGGTTGGGAAGTTACTCTGCTATTTTAGAATCACCTTCCTCACCTATAAAATGGGTGTAATAGTGCCAACTTAGAGGGTTGTTGGAATGATTAAATGAGATAATGAGTGTAAGGTATCTGGCTTGTAGCACGTGTCTAATACAGGGTAGCTTTTTTTAATTATTACAGAAATGATCTTAAAGATGCATGTGTGTTCACATGCATACACACACTCATACACACACACACACCCTCATTTCCCAGAGCAACTTTTGAGACCAAAGCAGGGGACAAGTTTTAATGGCAGCACTAGAATTAGAATCTCTACATGCTCCCTTCCTGTCCCTTCTGGCCTCTGAGTTCTTTCATGAAGAAGAGAGCCAAAGAATGGAAATACATAAACAAACAAACCAGTGCATGAGTAATCTCAGATATCTCGTGGTATCACCAATGTTATACATTTAGTTTGATAGCTCAATCCAAAGTGATTTCTCTGTCAGGCAATAATTAGATACAAAGCAATGCATAGGCTACACATAGATACGAAGATAATATGACATAATCTTTTCCTCAAGACCTCACTGTCTAAGAAAGGAAAAGTCCAAGCATGAATCTAGATTCAATTTGGACCACTTTTTAGGTTATTTTATGTATTGCAACTAAATAGAAAGGATCTCACTGCATATCACAATAACATGTATAACTCCATTCTTATTTAAAAGTATTCCAGAATTGTTTCCCTCATTTTCTATGACGTTCTTAAATCTGACACAGATTGGTACAATACCCCTCATCATCACAAATTTGATACCATTTTCTCAAGAAAAGAGGGAGAAAAAGACAAAAAGCTGTCTACGAAAAAATAATATGAAATACTGCCCTTAGATTTTTGCATTTAAAATTTTCTTTTTAGTAAAAATTATAGGATCATAGGTATGAAATCATATTTATTCCTGGGGTGGGGAAATGTATATTTCTAATTATTTATAAGAGTCAAGTCAGATTATCAAAATTTCTTTAAAGGAATAAAATTGCTATGAAAGTTCCAGATCATAAGAAGCCCCATAATCCCCATATCCTATCAATGTACTTTGAAATAAATATACAAATAACCAGATCAGTCTTGCAATCCTGCAATATTCTGGGTTGTAGTAGCCATTAGAATTTAATGCACATAGCCCCAGACCGGAAGGAGTCACAGGAGCCTTCTTTCTCATCCTTCTGCCTTGCAAACTTTCCAGAGTCCCTGGAAAAATGTGATTCTCCCTTGCCTCCATATATGTCACCACCTTCCACCAGGACCTACACTTCCTGGTTCAGGAGCATGTGCAGGACAGGAACTCAAACCTCAGTCTCCAAGGCAGCCATCCTCCATCTACTGAACAATGAAGCCCCCCAACTGGGCTCCCAACCACTCTCCTTCCTCCCTCTTGGACGAGGCTCCCTGCCCTTCCCAGGCTTCTGGGGCCTCCTGTTTTATCTGCTCCCATCACACCACCCAAGATGACTCTGTCTCCCATGACCCTCCCAACCACCCCATCCCCACTTTCATTGCCCTGCTTCTCTACATGGTAGCCCAAAGGTCTCCGCCTCCATCTGTTTATGGATATTTTTTCTTAATATCCAAGGTCTGCAAGGACCTCAGTCAGTGCCTGATGCAGTATGTTCAAACCAGCAATCCTGATCATTACTACTACTGCTATTTTTGTTACTTCTTCTCCATAAACCCACCAAAACGGCTCTGCTGAGTTACCAACAGCCTCCCATCCCCCCCGGCGATCTTTACTCCATTCTCGGTTGGCAGGGGGCAGGCTAATACATCCCTGCTTGTTTAAAATTCCTTCTTTGGCTTCTAAAGCACCCTCTTAGCCCAGCATCCTACACCAACTTCCAAACCAGGAAGCTAATCAGCACACAGCGGTGGCCTTGAATTTGAAAATCCAAAGCCCTTTAGCCCACTGCTGCCTCCAGCCACCTCATCCAAAAGCAGGTGATGCAAAACCCAGCCTGCTCCTAACATCGCCGCATCGAGGCTGCCGCATGCCTGGCCCCCTTCCCGCACATCATTGCATGTCTCACTCTCTGGCTCCTTTGAGGTCCCAGCTCAAATGTCACCTCCCCGGAGAGACCCTCCCTAACCCACCGCTACCATCAGGAGCATCTCAACCCGAAGCAAACTCAGTGAGCTCGAAGGACAAAACCACAGCTGTCCCTTCAGCTGTGGCTGCCTTGCTCCCCACTCACCTGGATCAGCGTCTCCAGCTCCTGTGGGCTCACGCAGATATGATCCCGCAGGAATTCCGCCTTCTCCAAGGCAATGGTGTTCTTCTGGCTGCTCTCGAAGGGCTGCTCCAAGGCCCGGAAGACCAGACCGCCGGTGACAAGGTAGACCACCACAACCACGAAGATCGCGACAACGGTTTTCCACTTCATGACGGTCTGCAGGCCCCCCTGGGAGGTGCCTTCCATCCTGGCTACCACCGTGGCTCGGGAGGAGATGGAGAGGCGCGGGGTGGCGTAGGGCCCGTTAGTGGCACCCTTGGGCTGGCCCACGGGGGGCGCTGCTGCCGGCACGGCCACTGAGAAACAGGGCAGGGGACAGGAGAAGAGAGAGTTTGTTGATAAATACAAGACACACGACTTTTCAGAAACAAAGCACAGATGTCTTTCTCAAGCCAGCTTTCAAACAGGAGGTTGAAAACCTGGTTCACCAGGCTGGGCAGCGAGGGAATCTGATCAGTGGTGAGGTGCCTATTTGAGTTCTTGGAAAAGGAGCCCCAGGAGTTCGGGGGTTTCAAAAAAGGAGTAGTAACTGAGTTCAACATTCTTACATTTCTCTGCAAGGGCCCAATTTTGAAAGCCAGGTCTCTGTGGTTTATAATTCATCTCTTCTCTCAAGCTTCCTCAGATAAACAATGTGTAAGATGCAGGACAGACCATCATATTTGAAAAACAGACACGCTGTGCAACTTGGAGAGGGAATAAATAGGAGACGGATGCCCAGCTACTCTGTCCACCCACTGAGGATGGAGGACACCAAGAGCAAAGAGGAGATGAACGTCTAGCGAGTTTCAGAGTCCCTTTCATCCGGTCCTGGTCACAAAACAAAGGGAAGAAGAGCAAGCTTGCTATCAGGCAGACGAGTCAAAACTCAGACACAGTAAAGAAAGTTTGGGTTTCAGGGGTGCCTGGGTGGCTCCGTGGGTTAAAGCCTCTGCCTTTGGCTCAGGTCATGATCCCAGGGTCCTGGGATAGAGTCCCACATCAGGCTATCTGCTCAGTTGGGAGCCTGCTTCCTCCTCTCTCTCTGCCTGCCTCTCTGCCTACTTGTGATCTCTGTCTGTCGAATAAATAAATTAAAAATCTTTAAAAGAAAGTTTGGGTTTCAGAAGATGACCAAAGTGAGGGGGACTGGATGGAGGGAAGTAAACAATAAGTGATGTTGTATGTCAAGTAACTTGGTTTCCTAGAAAAATACAAGAATAATAAAATAGATTCTAAGCACATTTCTCAACAGAAAATGCAATGACTTTAGTGACCGAATTTTGTGTCTATTTTCCTCCAGTAAGAAACCTTCGGAAAAGAAATTTCCCCTCAGTTTGAGAACACATCGAATTCTCAAAGGTCCCTGGTCTCTAGAAGGGCAATCTCATTACCTTGGAAATAAATTTGTGAAGCTGGAGGTTTTTCTAGAATGGCAGGAAGAGCAGGGTCGTGTTGCACACACGACGCTATCATGCACTTTGGAGATCTGTCTTGTGCAGCATGAACAGCAACGCGTTCGATTTTGCTCTGCCTTTATTACACAAACGCTTATTATGGCCTCTGTCATAGAGCAGCCTGGCTGTTGTGTAAATAAGGTATTAGGGGATGGTACTAGGTAATTACCTAAGTGGAGCAAACAGTCCCACTCAAGAGAGCGGACTGCTCGCTCTCTGCCTTGGGAAACTCAAGACAAACAAAAGCACAGAATGTCACTCCCTCCCTGTGCAGAGCACCGATGACCCTGAGGACACCCAGCCAGAAGGGTGGCCACCTCAAGGAATCCAGGTCTGCAAATACCTGCCTTTCCTCCTGCAGCCTCAAAATCAGCTTTTCTCTTTGAAAACCAAACAGAACATCAGCCTTTAATTGGACGTGATTCTAGCAAATAAAATCATAAAATGTTAGATTTCCTTCTGACTCACTGAATGCAAAACCGTCTGGAATCTCTCACTGAAAGATTTAAGAGTCCGAATCAGCACCGTGGGCATCATATTCTTGCTAGTCCTTCCCCGCAAAACACGACTTTCAGGTTCCTGTTAACCTTTGTTGATACTGAAGTACGTCTTGTCTAGGTTTCTTTCAACCTTGCCCCCACATTTCCCACTCATTACCCTCCCTGCTGCCTCTCAGTCCCCTGTGCCTCTCTCTCACCCTTCCCAGTATAACCAACCTCATGGGGGAGGCCATCACAACAGCTTGCCTGGGCCAAATCCAGCAGCCTCCTAAGCGACCTCCCCTGCCTCCACACAGACCCACCTTTGACAAAGCTGGGGTTAAATACTACTTCTGGAAGCACCTCCCCCCTCTTTTCCCCTGTCCCCTCTGTGGTGGGCAGAATAATGGCTCCTGAAGATGTTCACATCCTAATCCCTGGGCCCACGGCCTACATTACCTTACATCACAAAAGGAACTTTGCAAATGTGATTAAGTTAAGGATCTAGAGATAAGGAATTATCCCAGATTACCAGTGTCAGCCCAATGTAATCACAAAAGAGAGGCAGGAGGTTCAGAGAAAGAAAACGTGTAAGAAAAGAAGTAGGGGTGACAAGCCAAGGGATGAAATCAGCTCCTAGAAACCGGAAAAGACAAGAAACAGACTCTCCCCTAGAGGCTCCAGAAGGATCCAGCCCTGCCGACACCTTAATTTTGGCCCAATGAGACAGATTTGGAACTTCTGACCTCCAGAATCACAAAATAATAAATATGCATTGCGTTAAGCTACTAAGATGACGGCAATCTGTTACAGCAGCAATAGGAAACTCATACACCCCTCTCCCCTGCTAGGTTAGGTCCCTCTGGTCCACACTCACTGGGCTGTTTACTTGTCATTGGACTTAGAGCTTCAGGAAGGCAGGACCCAGGTCTACCCTCTCACCTCTGTACCCCAGTGTCTTGTACGGTGCCTGGTACACAATACTCTAATTGAGTGAGGAATAAAAGGTGGAGACCTTGGCACATCGAAACCACACATACAATGTGGGTGAGGGGTGCTCAATGGGAAAGAGCCAGGCACTCCAGCGGCCCTCAACGGCAGGTGCCCCAACACAGCAATGCTCTGGTCATGCCTCCACAGTCCATGGATGTTCCTTTGGCCGGGAGCCCCCTCCCCACCTTCACCTGCCTGGGAAACTCTCACCCTCCTCAGTCTCAGCTCAAAGCTGCCTCCCCCGTGAAGTCATCCTGGACTCTCCAGGCAGACTCAGCATGCCTGTCTCCCCACAAGCCTGGAAATCCCTGGGAGTCTGAAAGCTTGTCATTTGATTGTTGGATCTCCATTTCTTGACACAGCGCCTGGCATAGAGCAAATGTTTGTTTTCTGTTGTTGTTGTTGTTAACTCCTTCAGACTCTAAACAAAAGGCCCATCCGAAACCCCACCACCCTCAGTGACAAGCATTTATTTAATGCCAAGTTAGCAGGAGGCGCCAAGCTCTGGTGGGGCTAAGTCAGAGTCCCTCCCGGCTTCAGGGGTTTGATAACCTACTTAGGGAACATCCTTCACAGTGTCAGGTGACGAGATGTTAGGAGGAAGCCCAGTGACAGCCTTGAGCTCAGAGGTCAGCTGCCGCTGGGCCTCCTTCACTGACTTGCATCACGGATGTTTCCAGGACTTCTAGCATTCCTGAGGCTGAGCAGAATTGGGCCTGACAAAGGTCTTTCTCAGACCAGTTCCTGATGTCAGTTTGCTAAGAGGCTATCCCCAGGAGCAGAGTCTGAATAGAATCCACCAATCCCAAGTTTCCAAAGCACCAGGAGAATTTCAGTCCCAAAGCCATCAGTGTCTGGTTGATCACTTACTTTCTCTGTTTCCTTATCTGCTGAAGGTGGATAGTAAGGACTCCACTGGAGGGCTGCAAAGCACATGCATGGTCATAGCCACCACGTATCCCTGCTTTGCAGATAAAGAGACTGAGACCTGGAGAGAGTACATGGCTAACCAGAGGTCAAGGGGGCAGAAAGCGGGGGAGTCGGGATTAAAATGAGAATAATCTGACTTCAAAGTCAGTTCTCTTCTGGAGCGTAGGCACAGAAGAATAGGAAACAAAGACATTCCCCTGGTGGAAAGGGCCCTTTTATCTGAAATGTATCAATAATAGATGGGGCATAGAAAGTAATGACCTATCATTCCTCATGACTCCCCCGGAAAGTATCCGGCAGCAAACGCACTGCCAAGAAGTGATGAGAAGGGAAAGGTGGGAAGGGCAATATCCCTTCAGTTAATTTTCATTTTAAAATATTTCCTCACAAATGCTCACCCATTCCACTTTCACCTAAACTCGGGTAGATATGGGAGCACGCACGGAATCTGCTTCTTCGTGGTTGAAGAGGTTCGTGGTAGTTTTGAATTTTTCAGGCTTTCCCGTGTCCTGTTTCCTGCCCATCCTTGCACTCAGTCAACAAACACTGGAGTCAGCCAGGTGCCATTGGCGCTGGGGACATGGAAAGGAATAGGACCCATCCCAGCCTTCAGAGTCTGTGGGAGAGTCGACGAGGATCTTACACAAGCACGAACCTAGTGCATCATCACGAGACCTTGTGTGGAGAGCACTTGTCATTATCTGTCCCCCTTGACAGGTGAGGCTTGAAGGCACGGAGCAGCGGCATCCTTGGACCCATGTTCAGACACCCAACCTCAAGTGCCTCCACTCCTCCATGCCACTTGAAACCAATGACATCCCCAGGACTCAGGGTTTCTTGGGAACATGAAAGGCAGCCACCTCAGAGATGCCGCTGTCACACAGCAACGTGACTCTGCCTATTGACCCAGGCAAAGTACAACGGATTGCAACACACTGACGAGAAGCAGAGAACCCCTGCCCTCCCCCCAACCCTCCCAGGCCTGGCACGGGTCCAGGGCCACCTGCACTGGCAGCTCAGAGTCCAGAGAGCTCTAGGGGAATGCTGAGCCCAGTACGTGGACTTGAGGCAAGTGCAGAGGGTGGGTGTCGGGAAGAAGGAGGAACGCTGAGGAGCCTCACAGCAGCTGGTTTCACCATGACCGTCCTCTGAGAAGAACAGAGAGAATATGCGAGGTCCTTCTGATGCCACATATACCAACAGCCAGACCTTGTTCTTTCAGCTTCCGTCTGACAGCCGTACCTTAAGGGGGCTCAGACTTGTCCTGATAAGAACACAGAGACTACACACACTAAGTGAGCAAGCCATGCATGTCCCCAGAAGGCCACCGCAGAAAAGGTTTTTTCCTTTGGGTTCAGGGATTTCTCTCACCTGGCCCTCTTAAAACGCCAGGCTTTGCATCCAGATAGAAGAGAACAAGGCATCGGGAAATTTCTGGGACCCTTTAGAGACAGAGAA